TTTAGCACCTCGACCACGCCGATTCTGCGCGAGCGCCGCAGAAATTGCAAAAAACCTCGAGTTTTTGACCTCGACCACGCCGATCCCCGCAGACGGTTGCGCGAGCACCGCAGAAATCGCAAAAAACCTCGAGTTTTTGCACCTCGACCACGCCGATCCCCGCAGAGGGTCGCGCGAGCACTTTAGAAATCGCAAAAAACCATCGAGTTTTTGCACCTCGACCACGCCGATTCCCGCAGAGGGTTGCGCGAGCACCGCAGAAATCGCAAAAAACCATGGGTTTTTGCACCTCGACCACGCCGATCCCCGCAGAGGGTCGATTTTCGTGTAGTGTCGTCGCCACTACCCCGCCGCCCAAGAAGAGATTTTAACTCCTCGCAAGTTCAACTTGCACTTGACTCCTTGCTTGTTTCAAGGAGTCATTGCAAGGAGTCATTGCAAGGAGTCATGTTGCAAGGAGTCATGGCAAGGAGTCATTGCAAGAGTCATTGCAAGGAGTCATGGCAAGGAGTATGGCAAGGGTATTGCTAGGGTCATGAGAGCCATTGAATGTTGCAAGGAGCCAAGTGCATTGGAGTCAGTGCAAGTCGGACCGTGCACGGGGTTAGTGCAAGTTTGCAAGTCAAGGAGCAAGTGCAAGGGGCCAGTGCATGGAGTCAAGTCGCAAGTTGCAAGTGCATGGAGTCAAGTGATGTTGCAATTGCAAGGAGTTCAAGTGCATGTTTGCTAATCATTGCCATGTCTTCCTTTGCAAATGGGGAATCCTTTGCCATGACTCCTTGCCATGACTCCTTGCAATGACTCCGTGCCATGACTCCTTGCAATGACTCCTTGCAATGACTCCTTGCAATGACTCCTTGCAATGACTCCTTGCAATGACTCCCTGCAATGACTCCTTGCAATGACTTTCATGATGATGATTCCTTGCAATGACTCCTTGCAATGACTCCTTGCAATGACTTTCATGATGCTGGTTCCTTGCAATGACACCTTGTAATGACTCTCATGAGAACAACTCAAGTGAACCCAGCGGAAGAACCCTTCGCCATGCTTTCGGGAAAAAGACGCGATAAACAACAGAAGATACGACCTCCTCAGCTGTGTATATAACCGACGGTAGATGTTCCTGGCCTCGCTGCGACAGATCGTGCCCCACCAGCACACAAAGAATGTGCGGGTGTAGCGACCCTCTGCCTTGTGTTTCCAGAGGCCCGCAAAAGGCAGCCACGTCGCCAAAGCAGCCCGGGAAGGTCGATGCGGCGAAGCCATCCTCGAAGTTCCTGGCCAGGCCAACATGGTAGCTGGCCCTGGTCATGGGCGGCAATGTGCCCAGGATCTCTTCGAAGAAGAGAAGCATCATCTTGTGGAAGAAGCGAGCCTGGGACACGGGGTCGGCTGCCAGGGCACGCCGCATTGCTGGCAAGGAAGGCAACGACGGCTCCTCCAAGTCCCAGTTGAGGTTGACCTGGAACTCCTCCACTTGGCCTTGAACGTCCTGCAAGTGCAGCTGCAGAAACATAGGGGCGCGAGAGTCGGCCAAATTGGGAGTCGCAAAGAGGTGCGTGGTGCCGTACTGCCAGCCAGCTGCGTGGCCGCGTAGTCGAATTTGACTACGATGCCCTTCTGTTCCGAGTGTGTTGGCGCTGGCAGCTAGCACACTAGCCAAAGCCTTCTTCAGGGAGACATCCACGTCTGGCGAGCGGATGAGCTCCCTGATGTCGGCGCGCTCGCCGTGCAGCGCCATGGCTTTGAGCAAGTGCTCGGTCTGCACAGAGGCGATGACAGAGCAATGCCTGCTGAAGCCGCCGCGCTTGACATAAGCCTTGGATGACCGCATCAAACCAAGTCTGCAGCTGATGTCGTACATCGCAGGCAGGAGTTGCTCCTTCGCGTCCCAAACATTTTCTTATTGGACAGCACCTAGCCCAGTTGCGCACCAATGCGAGACAAAATCACAGCAAACAACGCACACCCAAAACTACATAATCAAGTCTGCCGGAACACCGAACGGCTCCAGCGAGCGAAAGGTATATCCAGCGGCTGCCCGCGCGGGCTGTAGACTAGCTCCTCGCGCAGTAGCAAGTAACGGAAGACTTCGGCCGCTTCCATGCATGGGAGTCTCCCTCTTAAGGAAAGGCACGCCGTCAACAAATCCGGGAAGGCCATGGCCCATGTGGCTGCCTGGAACATGCTCATGGGCGTGTCCTGCGCCACAAGCTTCTGTGGCCTTGTCTCAAACATCTCGGCCTGGGCCATGCGCTCGCGCTCCACGCCGCCTGCGGCAAGGCTCTGCACACGCTTCACTCTTCGCAGGACTTCACGTTCATGAGCGCCTTCGCGACCCAGAAGCCCCGAGTCGCCACCCATTGCCGAGGGCTCAGCCAAAATCTCGTTGGCAGCTCGATTGCGCAGAACATGATGCGCGTCGGTGTCGTGCTGCTGTGGCTTCCAGCGGCACAGGCCCTCCACATCTCGGCACATCCGCAGCCACTTTTTGCGCTCGTTAGAGGCATCGTTCAAGCCCACGATGCAAGAAACCAAATGACCTAGCCGCCGACCAGCGATCTGAGCAAAAACACAAGAAACATGACGGCCCCACAAGAACCCAAACCGGTCATACACAGACGCATAACACATACTCAGACAGCAGCGAGAACGAAAAAAGGCTTGCCGAGATGCCAGAGTCTTCCTGCGCCATGGCCGCTGGCGCCGCGCTCGCAGAAGAGGACCGCACGACAGCGTTATCTCCCGCGAGAGCACTGCCGGTCTCGTCCTCAGACGGTCCAGCTTGCGATGCGCTCGCAGAGGACGACGGCACGACAACGTTATCCCCTGCAAGGACATCGCTCGGCCGGACTTCAGGCGGCAGCTCATCGGACACCGGATCATCATCTTCTTGGCCCTGAGCATCAGCAGGCCCCTTCTGCAGAAGCTCTCGAGCGAGGAAGCTGTCAGCAGCCGTTTCCAAGACGCAGCCCTCGAACACGTGGCTCTCTTCCCCGTCAGGTAGCCGACTCACATCGACGGTAGCCTGCGCGTAGTACTTCGAAGTTTGGCGAAGCTTCTCCACAGCAGCCGCATACTCTTCCCCCAGCTCGCATCATACCGGATTTCCTCAACTCCTTCTTCTGCCGCCCCACGAGCACGAACAAAATGCTTTCGGCCATGTCTTCTTCCTTTGGAGGCAAGGTCGCCTGGATCGCCGTCGGGCTAGCTTGTGGCAAGAAGATGGTGTTGCCAATGACGCCCTTCTCCCGTTCCGCCGGAGCTTGCCCCAATGGCTGCAGCACTGTAACCTGCATGCAGACACGCACCAACGGCAGCAGCCGACGAGTGCCTGGCGACAAGTTCTGCAATTCTGGCAGCTGGCGACCCATCCACAGGTCGTTGGCCAAGGCATACCAAGGCAAAGAAAGCACCGACGTGCGCAAGCTTGCGCGGCAGTCTTTGCAGACATGACAAGGGTCCGTGCTCTGCGCAGGCATGCGCCGCCGATGTAGCAGCAAATTTTAAATGGTTCCCGGGCAAGTAGGGATGCTCCACGGTGGACGCCATCAGCTCGTTCTTGCCCTCCTCCGTGCTGGCAATGTGCGGCCAACGATCCATGTACCTCTTGACCCCGAGCAAACGACATAGCCTCACTCGCTGACTTGGCATGATAGTCTCCGCTCCAGGCGGAAGGGTCAAGTCGTCAGGCCCTGCATCCGGTGACTGAAACAGAACCATGCTGCAAAGCTCGTTCTCCCAGAAGCGCCGTGCGCAGACGACACATGCAGATTCGCGCCGGCCTTTGGCCATGCCAGGCGGGCATCGCAGCCGCTCGTCGAAACTGGCGGCAATGGCCCTCTGACGGTTCATGCCGGGCACCTGCAGCCCAATCATTTTAGCACGAAACGACTCAAATAATACAAGTTTGTGGATTGACTCTCCTTCAGAGCTTACAAAACAGAAAGACCCTCTTTTGCAAGCTCTTGCCTGTGGACCAGCAAGCTCAGCTAGAGCCAGCACCTTCTTCCTGTACTCCACGAAAGCCCTGTCTTGGTCTCCTCCGCCATGCAAGTGAAGCAGCGCAATGTGCTCCTTGAGGTCCGACAAAGTCGGGCGCGATTCTCCACAGAGGCGGCAGCAGAACTTGTGCTCGATCGCTTCGGGTTCGTCAGGGAAAGCCCAAAGCAAGCTACGAGCCATCTTCTCGGCAACAGCTGGCATGCTCGGCCCGCAGTCCAGCTGCCGCAACTTGCTCTAGCCGTTGGACAAACGGCACCTGGTTGTCCTGCAAGATCTTCAAGCAAGTCAGAAGTAGCGGCGGGCTCTGCCTCAGAAGCCTTTGCAAAGGAACATATAACTGCTTGCCGCCGCTCCGCTCTCGCCATCCTGGGATACTGAAGAAAAGAGCACGCTCTGCAGGAGATCGCCACGCAACCCCGCCCAGCACATCCTCGTCATCTGCGCTCCAGCAATCCAAGGCCCACACCCGCAGCGCTGTAAAGTCTGGCGGATACGCCTTCCGCAAGGTTTTGGCGCGTCTGAGAGCGCCAGAGTTGCAATACGTATCCACACGCTTGGCCAAATGCGGGCTTTGTTCATGGAGGTCTTTCAATATCCTGCTGCTACGGAAGGATGTCTGATGGAATAAATGCTCCTGCTTGCCTGTCAAGCAGCACGCTCTGCTGCAAACAGCTGTGTCAACATTGACGCCAGGGCCTGAGGCTCCTGCTGCGGCGTAAAGGATGCAGCGTTTCGCGATTAAGGTACGCCGGAAGCTGTCAGGAGTCGCTCTGCTTTCTGCGACCAGAGAACGCTCATCCATTTGAGCGCGCATATGGGCTGCAAAGCGGCGCTCTGAACCCATCGCCTCAAGGAAGGCACGACACGATCCTGTTCCATCGCCGAAGCCACGGGTTGAGGATTTTAGCACCGCTGAGTATACTGCTTCGTAATATCAAACATTATAAACGGTTGCGGAACGGCCAAGCCGCAAAAAAAATGCCGCCTCCAACGCTTCCCTGCGATCCTTGAAGCCATCTGTCTCTTCCGATGCCGCCTCCTGCTCCAGAGTGGCCAAAGCCCACAGCCGCTCAGCAACATCGATGGGGTCAGCACAGTCGGAAGCGCCAGCCAAACGCCACCAGCCTGGCGCCGCATACCAGACAACAAACCCGCCCCAGAACGAATCGAAGCCACTTTTGGTCAAGCCCTCCCACCCGCCTCTGCGCTCATTCCAGCGAGCATTCAACACAACCGCAAGCAGAGCACGCTGCGCGGGCCAAGACAAACGCGGCATTGTGGTCTCCTGCAAGCGTGTCACAGCGGCTGTCCACGATGGCGGGATAGACTGCGGCAGCCATTGCTCCATGTCTGAGACACACGCCGCTGCTTCAGACAGTTTGGCGTCCAACAACTGCAGCTCGTCCCGTGCTGACAAATGTCGGCCAGCCACCGCTTCCACTGTGATGCCCAAGAAGACTGCGAGCAACCCATGGCGAAACTCAGCACATTGATCCTTTTTCAGAGTAACTTCGATCCGCGCTTCCAAAGTCTCCTGCTCCGAGCCTCGATGTCTCTTGAGACACCGCCAGAATTTACGCTTGACTTCAGCGCTGCGCAGTGGCGACGTCAGAGGGCACAGGGTCAATACCAATCGCTGGATGATGGCGTGGCGCGTCAGCCCCGTGACATCGACGCCGAGATCTGTGGCCAAGCCCGTCAGCGATGGGCTGGCATCTCGAAGCTTAAGCGGGCGAAGCAGCGCCCGCAGCGCAGCAGGCCCCTGATCTCCTTTGGCCGCTACCACTTCTCGCAAGCGCGCAACTGTGACTGCAGGAGTTGAAGAACTGCTCGGCTCCTGCCACCGCAGCTATTGAAAACAGCAACCTTGAGAACCCTGCAACACACATGCACACTCAAAACAAAAATCCAAAAAAAAAACAAGACTGCGCAACTTTGGACCCGGCCTGGCAACACAGCTGCTCCACGACAGCGGCAGCTAGGTCTGCCTTGGTCACTTTGCCGCCTGCGACACGTTGGCGCACATCCAGCTGTCGGGCGAGCGCGCGAAGTTGAGGTTGGGCTTTGGCCGCCACCTCTTGCTGGAGCCACGCCTTGCCCTTCTCCGACAAACCAGCACGAAGCGTCGCCACGACAAGCTCTGCCTCGTCCTGCGCTGTCCATGAGATGAGGCAACCCGTCCGTAAGAAACACGACATGGTGCCATCTGGTGCTTACATTTCGGCCATCCGCAAAACATCATCAAAAACAATAGCGTCAAACACCGACTACGACCAAGTCGAGACACCGGCGTCGGCGAAGCCGCAGAACTGCTTGGCTCCTGGCAACAACAATCAGCACAGCAAAACAAACAGTTGGGGTTGGGCTTTGGCCGCCACCTCTTGCTGGAGCCACGCCTTGCCCTTCTCCGACAAACCAGCACGAAGCGTCGCCACGACAAGCTCTGCCTCGTCCTGCGCTGTCCATGAGATGAGGCAACCCGTCCGTAAGAAACAC